GAACCAAGAATAATAATTTTATTGTTTTACAATAATTTTATTGTTTTGTATTTTTTTTATTTTATTGTTTCTCTTCTACGTGGTGGTGACTTTACCGAAAGAATCAAGAATAATAATTTTATTGTTTTACAATAATTTTATTGTTTTATATTTTTATTATTTTATTGTTTCCCTTCTACGTGGTGGTGACTTTACCGAAAGAACCAAGAATAATAATTTTATTGTTTTACAATAATTTTATTGTTTTATATTTTTATTATTTTATTGTTTCCCTTCTACGTGGTGACATTACCGAAAGAACCAAGAATAATAATTTTATTGTTTTACAATAATTTTATTGTTTTATATTTTTATTATTTTATTGTTTCCCTTCTACGTGGTGGTGACTTTACCGAAAGAATCAAGAATAATAATTTTATTGTTTTACAATAATTTTATTGTTTTATATTTTTATTATTTTATTGTTTCCCTTCTACGTGGTGGTGACTTTACCGAAAGAACCAAGAATAATAATTTTATTGTTTTACAATAATTTTATTGTTTTGTATTTTTATTATTTTATTGTTTCCCTTCTACGTGGTGACTTTACCGAAAGAACCAAGAATAATAATTTTAAAAAAATTAGAATAATTTAATTGTTTTATATTTTTATTATTTTATTGTTTCCCTTCTACGTGGTGACATTACCGAAAGAACCAAGAATAATAATTTTATTGTTTTACAATAATTTTATTGTTTTATATTTTTATTATTTTATTGTTTCCCTTCTACGTGGTGGTGACTTTACCGAAAGAACCAAGAATAATTATTTTATTGTTTTACAATAATTTTATTGTTTTGTATTTTTATTATTTTATTGTTTCCCTTCTACGTGGTGGTGACTTTACCGAAAGAACCAAGAATAATAATTTTATTGTTTTACAATAATTTTATTGTTTTATATTTTCATTATTTTATTGTTTCCCTATCTACGTGGTGGTGACTTTACCGAAAGAATCAAGAATAATAATTTTATTGTTTTACAATAATTTTATTGTTTTATATTTTTATTATTTTATTGTTTCCCTTCTACGTGGTGATGACTTTACCGAAAGAACCAAGAATAATAATTTTATTGTTTTACAATAATTTTATTGTTTTATATTTTTATTATTTTATTGTTTCCCTTCTACGTGGTGACTTTACCGAAAGAACCAAGAATAATAATTGTATTGTTTTACAATAATTTTATTGTTTTATATTTTTATTATTTCATTGTTTCCCTTGTACGTGGTGACATTACCGAAAGAACCAAGAATAATAATTTTATTGTTTTACAATAATTTTATTGTTTTATATTTTTATTGTTTCCCTTCTACGTGGTGGTGACTTTACCGAAAGAACCAAGAATAATAATTTTATTGTTTTACAATAATTTTATTGTTTTATATTTTTATTATTTTATTGTTTCCCTATCTACGTGGTGGTGACTTTACCGAAAGAACCAAGAATAATAATTTTATTGTTTTACAATAATTTTATTGTTTTATATTTTTATTATTTTATTGTTTCCCTTCTACGTGGTGACATTACCGAAAGAACCAAGAATAATAATTTTATTGTTTTACAATAATTTTATTGTTTTAGATTTTTATTATTTTATTGTTTCCCTATCTACGTGGTGGTGACTTTACCGAAAGAACCAAGAATAATAATTTTATTGTTTTACAATAATTTTATTGTTTTGTATTTTTATTATTTTATTGTTTCCCTTCTACGTGGTGACTTTACCGAAAGAACCAAGAATAATTTTTTTTATTGTTTTTCAATAATTTTATTGTTTTATATTTTTATTATTTTATTGATTTTACGCATGTTTTATTTTATTTTGGGGGGGGGGTGGGGCAGAGCTTTGTGACGTCATATTTGAGGGGGGGGGTCTGACTTTTTGTGACGCCGTGTGACGAGGGGGAGGGGTCAAAAATCGTATCCAAATTCGCGTGACGTCATTTATGGACGGCCCCATATATCTTTGCGTGTGTGTGTGTGTGGCCGCGGTCGCAACATCGTTGCCCTGTCGCGAGAGCGAACCAATTAGATGGCTCGGGGAGGGCCGTTGCCCGAAACGTCGCCTGCCCCCGGACCCACCGTGATGAGTCAAGAACCGCGCCAGGGTCTCGTGATGGGGAGGGGGCGTGGTCTCGTTGCGTATGGGCGTGTCCTGGCTTGGGTGGGCGTGGTCTACTAGTGGCGGGCGCGGTTTACCAACGTTGGGCGTGGTCTACTACCAGTGAGCGTGGCTTATTGTATGTGGGCGTTGCCTGATACATGTGGGCGTGGTCTGTCACGTGTGGGCGTGGTCTGTTGCGTGTGGGCGTGGTCTAGTACGGGCGGGCGTGGTCTTCTGCGTGTGGGCGTGATAAGCGTATAGTGGGCGTGGCCTACCTCCCACGTATATGTAGGTGTCTATGGTTCTGTATGAGTCTCTGTGTGTGTCTATGGTTCTGTATGAGTCTCTGTGGGTGTCTATGGTTCTGTATGCGTCTCTGTGGGTGTCTATGGTTCTGTATGAGTCTCTGTGTGTGTCTATGGTTCTGTATGAGTCTCTGTGTCTATGGTTCTGTGTGAGTCTCTGTGGGTGTCTATGGTTCTGTATGAGTCTCTGTGGGTGTCTATGGTTCTTTGTGAGTCTCTTTGGGTGTCTATGGTTCTGTATGAGTCTCTGTGGGTGTCTATGGTTCTGTATGAGTCTCTGTGTGTGTCTATGGTTCTGTATGAGTCTCTATGTGTGTCTATGGTTCTGTATGAATCTCTGTGGGTGTCTATGGTTCTGTATGAGTCTCTGTGGGTCTCTATGGTTCTGTATGAGTCTCTGTGGGTGTCTATGGTTCTGTATGAGTCTCTGTGTGTGTCTATGGTTCTGTATGAGTCTCTGTGTGTGTCTATGGTTCTGTATGAGTCTCTGTGTGTGTCTATGGTTCTGTATGAGTCTCTGTGGGTGTCTATGGCTCTGTATGAGTCTCTGTGTGTGTCTATGGTTCTGTATGAGTCTCTGTGTGTGTATATGGTTCTGTATGAGTCTCTTTGGGTGTCTATGGTTCTGTATGAGTCTCTGTGGGTGTCTATGGTTCTGTATGAGTCTCTGTGTGTGTCTATGGTTCTGTATGAGTCTCTATGTGTGTCTATGGTTCTGTATGAGTCTCTGTGGGTGTCTATGGTTCTGTATGAGTCTCTGTGGGTCTCTATGGTTCTGTATGAGTCTCTGTGGGTGTCTATGGTTCTGTATGAGTCTCTGTGTGTGTCTATGGTTCTGTATGAGTCTCTGTGTGTGTCTATGGTTCTGTATGAGTCTCTGTGTGTGTCTATGGTTCTGTATGAGTCTCTGTGGGTGTCTATGGTTCTGTATGAGTCTCTGTGTGTGTCTATGGTTCTGTATGAGTCTCTGTGTGTGTATATGGTTCTGTATGAGTCTCTGTGTGTGTCTATGGTTCTGTATGAGTCTCTGTGGGTGTCTATGGTTCTGTATGAGTCTCTGCGGGTGTCTATGGTTCTGTATGAGTCTCTGTGTGTGTCTATGGTTCTGTATGAGTCTCTGTGTGTGTCTGTGTGTGTGTCTCTGTGTGTGTGTAGGTGTCTGTGTGTGTGTAGGTATATGTGTGTGTGTCTGTGTGTGTGTAATGGAGCATCTTCGCCGGTTAGAAACATTTAGGCTGGCCTGCCTACGATCCATCCTGGGTTTAACCAGACTGGATTGTGTGAGGAGCTCACAAATCCTTGAAAGATCTGGGCAAGGTCCCATCGGTGAGCTCCTCTGGCAGGCAAGGCTGCGATGGCTGGGTCATGTAGCCCGCATGCCCAGCCACCGCATGCCGAAACAGCTTTTGTTTGGCCGGATTGAGGGGGCTAAGCGGGCGCGGCACGGGCTAGAGAAGAGATGGAGTGATGTGGTACAGGAGGACGTGGAGCTGAGTGGACTTGCCGATGACTGGTACCAGCGGTGTCAAGATCGGCCCCTGTGGAGGAGGCTCGTGAAGGACGCTACTGGGCAGTTGGAGGCAGTCGCCCTCCAACAACAACGGAGGGCGGAGGAGCGACGCTCACAACAACGAGCAGAGCGCCGGGTGGCTAAAGCACAGCAAGTTGGCACAGTAGGGGGCACAGGTGGTGCATCAGCCAGTCATCTCAGTCAGTCGACCCGTGGCACCTGGGTCTGCCCCGTGACCTCCTGCCAGCGGGCGTTCGACACTTCACGTGGCCTCAGGGTGCACATAGCCTGGCACAAGCGTCGTGGTGACGTCACCGCAACTTAGTGGTGAATGGCTGTTGTTGTTGTGTGTTGGTGTCTGTGTGTGTCTGTGTGTTTAGGTGTCTGTGTGTGTGTAGGTGTCTGTGTGTGTCTGTGTGTGTGTCTGTGTGTGTCTGTGTGTGTGTCTGTGTGTGTAGGTGTCTGTGTGTGTCTGTGTGTGTGTCTGTGTGTGTCTGTGTGTGTGTCTGTGTGTGTGTCTGTGTGTGTCTGTTATAGGTGTCTGTGTGTGTCTGTGTGTGAGTGTCTGTGTGTGTGTCTGTGTGTGTGTCTGTGTGTGTGTCTGTGTGTGTGTGTGTCTGTGTGTTTAGGTGTCTGTGTGTGTGTCTGTGTGTGTGTCTGTGTGTGTGTCTGTGTGTGTGTCTGTGCGTGTGTGTCTGTGTGTCTGTGTGTGTCTGTGTGTGTATGTAGTTTGTGAAACTGTCTTCTACTTGACACTCCTAACGTGCTGTGGCTGAGACACTTCACGTGGCCTGAGTGGTTGCTGGGCGTGGTCTATTGGTTTTTGGGCGTGGCCTAGTGGCCGGTGGGCGTAGCCTAGCGGTTGGTTGGCGTGGTCTATTGACCATGGGCGTGGTCTCGTGGTTAGTGGGCGCAAACTAGTGACCGGAGGGCGTGGTCTAGTGGTTGCTGGGCGTGACCTAGTGACCGATGGGCGTTGTCTATTTGTTGGCAGGCGTGGCCTAGTGGCCGGTGGGCGTGGCCTGGTGGTACATAAGGATCCACCCACACCCGCCCCTCTCGTCATATCTGGCAGCACATCAACCATGCCGGTAGCAAAGAAGCCAGGTGAGCATGGTAGGGTCACTGGTGGTGGGGTCATGGGGTCATGGGGTCATGGGGTCATCGGCTGGTGACGTCGCCGAGTTAACTGCCAAACAAACTGTCCATTTGTTTTTTTGTGAGGCGGTGATGATGATGTGGTGAGGTGATGTGTGATGAGGTGATGATGTGTGATGAGGTGATGATCATGTGATGAGGTGATGATGTGTGATGAGGTGATGATGTGTGTGATGAGGTGATGATGTGTGATGAGGTGATGATGTGTGTGATGTGTGTGATGAGGTGGTGATGTGTGATGAGGTGATGATGATGTGTGTGATGAGGTGATGTGTGATGATGTGTGTGATGAGGTGATGAGGTGATGATGATGTGTGTGATGAGGTGATGATGTGTGATGAGATGATGATGTGCGTGATGAGGTGATGATGTGTGATGAGGTGATGATGTGTGTGATGAGGTGATGATGTGTGATGATGATGTGTGTGATGAGGTGATGATGAGGTGATGATGTGTGATGAGGTGATGATGATGTGTGTGATGAGGTGATGATGTGTGTGATGAGGTGATGTGTGATGATGATGTGTGTGATGAGGTGATGATGTGATGAGGTGATGATGATGTGTGTGATGAGGTGATGATGTGTGATGAGGTGATGATGATGTGTGTGATGAGGTGATGATCATGTGATGAGGTGATGATGTGTGATGAGGTCATGATGTGTGTGATGAGGTGATGATGTGTGATGAGGTGATGATGTGATGAGGTGATGTGTGATGAGGTGATGATGTGTCAAGGTTGATGTGTAATGAGGTGATGATGTGTGTGATGAGGTGATGATGTGATGATGATGTGTGTGATGAGGTGGTGTGTGATGAGGTGATGATGTGTCAAGGTGATGTGTAATGAGGTGATGATGTGTAATGAGGTGATGACGTGATGAGGTGATGTGTAATGAGGTGATGATGATGTGATGAGGTGATGATGTGATGAGGTGATGATGTGTAATGAGGTGATGATGTGATGATGATGTGATGAGGTGATGATGATGTAATGAGGTGATGATCATGTGATGAGGTGATGATGATGTGATGAGGTGATGATGTGATGAGGTGATGATGATGTGATGAGGTGATGATGATGTAATGAGGTGATGATCATGTGATGAGGTGATGATGATGTGATGATGATGTAATGAGGTGATGATCATGTGATGAGGTGATGATGTGTGGTGAGGTGATGATGTTTGTGATGAGGTGATGATGTGTGATGAGGTGATGTGTGATGATGTGTGTGATGAGGTGATGTGTGATGAGGTGATGATGATGAGTCAAGGCGATGTGTAATGAGGTGATGATGATGTATGAGGTGATGATGATGTGATGAGGTGATGATGATGTCAAGGTGATGTGTGATGAGGTGATGATGATGTGTCTGATGAGGTGATGAGGTGATGATCATGTGATGAGGTGATGATGTGTGATGAGGTGATGATGTGTGTGATGAGGTGATGTGTGATGAGGTGATGGTGTGTGATGAGGTGATGTGTGATGAGGTAATGATGATGTCTGTGATGAGGTGATGATGTGTGTGATGAGGTGATGATGTGTGTGATGAGGTGATGTGTGATGATGTGTGTGATGAGGTGATGTGTGATGAGGTGATGATGGTGAGTCAAGGCGATGTGTAATGAGGTGATGATGATGTGATGAGGTGATGATGTGATGAGGTGATGATGATGTGATGAGGTGATGATGATGTGATGAGGTGATGATCATTTGATGAGGCGATGATGTGTAATGAGGTGATGATGCGTAATGAGGTGATGAGGTGATGATGTGTGATGAGGTGATGAGTGGGTGGGTGAGTGGTTGAGTGAATGTGTGAGTGAGTTAATGAATGTGTGTTAATGTGTGTGTGTGAGTTAATGAGTGTGAGTTTATATGTGTGTGAGTGTGTGAGTTAATGAGTGTGAGTTTATATGTGTGTGAGTGTGTGAGTTAATGAGTGTGAGTTTATATGTGTGTGAGTGTGTCAATGAGTGTGTGTTTATGTGTGTGTGTGAGTGTGTGAGTTAATGAGTGTGGGTTTATGTGTGTGTGTGTGAGTTAATGAGTGTGTGTTTATGTGTGTGTGTGTGAGTTAATGAGTGTTTGTTAATGTGTGTGAGTGTGTGTGTGAGTTAATGAGTGTGTGTTTATGTGTGTGTGTGTGAGTTAATGAGTGTGTGTCTATGTGTGTGAGTGTGTGTGAGTTAATGAGTGTGTGTTTATGTGTGTGAGTGTGTGTGAGTTAATGAGTGTGAGTTAATGTGTGTGTGTGAGTGTGTGTGAGTTAATGAGTGTGTGTTTATGTGTGTGTGTGAGTTAATGAGTGTGTGTTTATGTGTGTGAGTGTGAGTTAATGATTGTGTGTTTATGTGTGTGTGAGTGTGTGTGAGTTAATTAGTGTTTGTTTATGTGTGAGTGAGTGTGAGTTAATGATAGTGTGTTTATGTGTGTGAGTTAATGAGTGTGTGTTTATGTGTGTGTGTGAGTTAATGATTGTGTGTTTATGTGTGTGAGTTAATGAGTGTGTGTTTATGTGTGCGTGAGTGTGAGTTAATGATTGTGTGTTTATGTGTGTGAGTTAATGAGTGTGTGTTTATGTGTGTGAGTGTGTGTGACAGTGTGTGTGAGTTAAACAACCCCCTACCTCCTCGCGGTGCCGGACGGGCAACTTTGTCGTGGACAGTGCTGTGGGGGGATGGCCAATTCCGATTGGCTCCTCCCCTCATGGAGTCTGTGTCCACCACAGTGGCTAAACGGGGGCTCTGGACGGGTTCGAGGGGCTGGTAACCCCTCCACCTTCAATTAATTACCACTAAGCCACGAGTTAAACTGAAATATGTAACTAATAAGCTTGTGCCGGAGGCCCCGGGGGGCCAGGCGTCTTTGACGTCTCCTGGCCAAACCCCAATTGGCGGAGCCAGGAGATTGAATCTCTACCCTCGGGGCTCCTCCAGAAACAACGAAAAGCCACTACGGGTGGCCACGTGGAATGTTCGAACGCTCACTGCAGAGGAGAGGCTGCCACTCCTCTGTCGGGAGCTGGACCGGTACCGCCTGGATCTATGCGGCATTCAGGAGGTCGGGTGGACCGGTTCTGGCTCCTGCCACCATAAGGGGTGGACAGTCCTCTACTCGGGGCAGCAGACTGCCAAACAACAGGGTGTGGCTCTTCTTTTAAAGAAAAGAATGAAGGGGGCGTGGGAGCGTGGCGGTGAGGTGTGGGAAGCTGTAAGCCCCAGGCTACTTTGGGCTCGCCTTCCCATCAACCGGAGGCGAGGAGTGGTGGTCGTGGTTACTTATGCCCCCACCGAAGACGAACATCCGTGGAGGGATGCAGGCAAAGCCGATGAGTCAGATGCCTTCCATGACCTCCTGTCACAGGTGATGGCTAAAGTGGCCCCTCGGGATAGAGTCATCATGTTGGGTGACTTCACTGCCCGAGTTGGTCATGATACTGGCACCTGGTCTGGAGTGATTTGAGGGCATGGGCTAGATCAACTCAATAAACAACGGTAGGAGGCTGCTAGATTTTTGTGCAGCCCATGGGCTTGTAATTACCAACATGCTGTTCCGGCATCGGCGCATCCACACAACATCATGGATGCATGTCGGGTCCAAGCAAGAACATCTGCTGGACTACATAGTGACTGGTCTCAGTTATCTGATGAAAGTTGCAAGCAAGAATTTTATCATCGCTTGCGGCTGGGATTGGCATCGTCCCCGACTCCTCCTGATGTCGAGGGTAAATGGGCGAGATTTAGGACTGTGACTCATGCAGCTGCAATGGCTGCTTTGGGTACGCGGTCCAGACCTCCCCAGAGACCCTAGCTGACAGAGGAGGTGGTCAGGATGGTTGAGAAAAAGCAACAGGCCCACTGTCATCGTCTACAGAATCTCACGTCAGAGAATGAGGAGGCTTACCGCAGCCTTCGCTCGGAGGTTCGGAGAGCCGTGAGGCGTTGCAAGGATGGGTGGTGGTCGCGGGTTGCTGAGGAGATGGAGTCTGCCTCAGTGGCCCGCGATCACAAATCTCTATTTAACTCCATCAAAAAAGTAACCAGCAGCGCCACACCTATTACCATCAGGGGAAAAAACGGTGATCCAATCTCCGACCCCCAGGAACAGGTTTGCAGATTTGCTGAGCATTTCTGTGAGGTCCTGGGGGAGGGAAAATCCCTCAGCCAGGAAAACATCGTGGCACAAAGTGAAGATGACACTGCTGAGCCTGCGGTGCCTTAAATATTGGAAGAAGTCACCCCCTGTGAGTGGCTGGCTGAGGTGCCATCTGTTGAGGAAGTACTGAAGGCGATCCGGAGTCTGAGACCAGGAAAGGCAGCGTGCAGAGATGATTTCCCAAGCGAAATGCTGAGGGAGGGTAGCGTTTGTGCACAGACTGCCCTATATGACATCATAACAACAGTCTGGACCACTGACGGGTTCCGCAGGATTGGAAGGATGCGCTGGTGGTCCCCCTCTTTAAGAAGGGGGACCGCACAGACTGTAACAACTACAGGGGCATCTCACTCCTCAGTGTGCCGGGAAAGGTCCTGGCAAGGATTATTCAACATCGCCTTGCCAGGCACGCTGAGGAGAGGCTTGCGGAGCCCCAATGCGGTTTCAGGAAAGGGCGGTCCTGCACAGATGCCATATTTTCTGTCCGTCTGCTACAGCAGAGGTGTAGGGAATTCCAGCAAGACCTACATCTCTGCTTTATTGACCTGGTCAAGGCCTATGATACCATCAGTAGGCCTGGGCTCTGGGTTCTTCGTGCTTTTGGAGTACCTGACCCTCTGCTCATGATCATTAAGGACCTTCATCATGCTGAGCGGGCCTGGGTAAAACTACGTGGCCGGGAGTCAGAGCCATTCCCTGTACACCTTGGGGTGCGACAGGGATGTCCTCTGGCTCCCACATTATTTAACATCTATTTTGACCACGTAGTTCGTGAAGCCTTCAATA